TGACTTCTTCCATTTTCCTACACTTTTCCCCTTCTTACGTAGGAGTGTTGCATGCATGTTGATTTTCTCAATAACACCTACAACATTTCTAGACTATTCATTTGATACAACCCTTTTCCTCTTTCGATCTTTAACTCTTTCAGCTATACCATCGTCGGAAACAGATAATGTTGGGTTTTTCTCCTCCGATATCTCAAAAACAAAGGCTGTTTGAACTGCTCCACAAACTACAACTGAAGATCCCACATGATTCTCTCGATTTTTCTCCCGATCAACACCTGTATGTCCTAACCCAACATAATCAACCAAGGATCCATCGTCTCTATTTTGCGTCAAGACACCACCGTCAACGGAAGGGACTCCGTGTTTGCCTTCTTCTTTCGCATTTCCCATAACTGGTGAAAAAGGTTTTTCCATCTGTGCTTTTTCCTTCGCCAAGTTTTATTTTTTAACCTCTTCCAAGTGCTTAAGGTATACCATGTCAAGCCTCTGTCTTCTCCACTCTAACTCTTCCATAGATCTGCAAAACCAATATCACACAACAATGAAAACCTTTAAGTGTAAACAATTCAACTACAAAAACATGCAACCCTAATCTTATGTTGATCGCGATTTTACCTGGCTTCCTGAGATGTCAAAGGATTATTGCTTTCCATTTCTAAAAGCTTGCACGAAGAGACAAAACTCGACAATGATTCTTGCCTTTTATATTAAACTTTAACTGTATAATTTTTCAACCTTTTTATAATTGAGACTTCTTGATATTTTTTTCTATATACAATTATTTTAATTTTTTATTATATTTTTAAAAGATTTCTCTATTTTTATTTTTATTTTTTTTGTGTTATTTTCTTGTCTATTTATTTTCTCTATCATTGACACACTAATTTTTTAAACAATGTCACATATTTTTCTTTTATGTTGTATTTAATATGTTAAACTACTCATTTACAGGTTTTGTTATCCTTTTTTAATATTTTGTTACTTGGCCCTTTGGTTTATATTACATGCAACATATGTGAAATCCAGTTTTTTTTTTTTACACAAACAGAACTAAAATCCAGTTTTTCTGACCCAAACCAACCATTATTTGTTTATACTTACATTGGACCACTTATAATTTGTTATGTTGATTACCCAACATCAATGAATTTATTTTCACATTGTTCTATATATATATATATATATATATATATATATATATATATATATATATATATATATATATATATATATATATATATATATATATATATATTACTCCCTCTGTTCCTTTTTAATTGTCAGGTTTCTGAAATTTTTATGTTTGTTTTTAATTGTCACTTTCAAATTTCAAAGTAGTACTAGTGATAGTTTTGTCAAAATTACCCCTAATCATTTATTATATAGAGAGAGAAAGTAAGTTAAAATAATAAAAATTTAAGGATATTATAAGTAAAAGAAAAATGATTGCTTAAAAGTAACAACAAACATTAGTTTTATTGGTATGTGTAAAAAGTTAAAAAGTGACAATTAAAAGGGAACGGAGAGAGTACAACTTTTTTTTCACTGATTACCTATTATCTATATTGGCAATATTTTTATTGAAATCAATACTAACTTCATAATTTTAAATCCTAGAGCATAGTCAAATTACTCATTACATTCATTAAATTCATAAACTCTTTCCAACCATCACCTGAAAATCTTTCGACATAATACTTTCTTTCTGCTACATGAAGTTCACAACCGTAGCTATTTTCATACTCGAATCAACCAACTTTATGCGTCTATGAGAGCTGTGCAACGAGTTTCTTATCACGTTATGAGGGATTTTCTACAAATAAAATGGAAATGCATTTCAATATATGACAATATATACAATATATAATAAAAAGAATCAAAATGCGGATTCATGGGTCTACTTACAAACACATTCTTTGTGGGTTTCTTGCCAGTTTTTTTCCTTTTTCATATAATATAGCTTGGGCAGTTTTCCATATCTACATCACTTTCCTTATCTGCAGAACTGTAGAACCATGAAATATAAATCAAACACTAACATACTTAAATTGCATTTATTAACTACAACTGTTCACTTTTTATATTAGTTAAATACGTATATACCTCTCATTGTCTGAAGAAATTGAAATGTGTGAAGTTTCAGCACCACAATCACCTTTCACTCTCTTAGCATCCTTTTTATCCTTACCTATTTCAAAGAAATTTGCCACATTCTCCTATCCTTTGTTAACAACATTTACCCGATCTTTGGAGGGTCCAGCAAATACTATCTATTTCCCCTTATAACCTCTGACTCTATCACGTTCCGCACAGCCTGGTACAGGTGAACCCTCATGTTTTCCTTTTGATTTGACACCATCTATAATCCGAGATCTATTGTGTTTGTAATCAGTCACTGAAGCATCGACAATCGATGATCCATCTTCTTTTTCTTTACCTTTGAGGCAACCATCAACATGGGTTCCAGATTTTTCTTTTTCAGCATTTTTCCTAGCTTCCTTAGCAACCTGAGCCTCTTCCATGTCCCGACGAATTGTCTTCTCTATGCTCATTCTTCTCCAAATGGTTTATGCCTCCAAATCTTCAATAGATCTGCAAATAAATTACATACAACAACGTAGCATATCAATATATGTAAACAACCACTTATTGATACATCAATCAACAGTATATGGAATACAGGATTATACCTTTCGATGGGGGTAATAAGAGTGGTGCTCGACATTGTTTGATGGAAGTAAAAAGGTGATGACCTTGAAAACCACAATTTTTTCCTCACCAATAACTTTTTACAAAACCTAAGATATACTGTCAACCTTATGTCTTCAATCTATGATATTTATATATTAAAGAATCCTACTTCCATTATGCCCATCAACTAAATCTAATGGGCATGTGGTCCATTCTATCCATACTTACACTGATCCATCTAAAAAAAATACTTATTGATACAAATTTACTTCTATCATATTTATTATATAATTTTTTAAATTTCTTTTATACTTTATTGTAAAATGAAATTAATATGAAATTTTTTCAGACAATGGTGATATTTTTTTTTTTAATCGTGGGTGTTGCAACAAAACAGTTTGAGCAGATTAAATGCTCATTGCAAAATAACAACATAACTATTTTAACAAAATAAACCAGACTACACCATCCAACTTCCATTGCATTCTTTTCATCACCAAACTTCAAACATTCTTAACCAAATCTTGATCGGTTCACCGTTGTCACGACAACCCTTTGCGCAGCAGGGTCAAGCCTCCTTGATGGACGATCCTGAATGCAAAATGCAAGTTTATCCCCTTTTTCAAGACATTTGTCCTTTGCATAATCATATCAGCCCTTGCCAATTGACATCTCCACACAAATCTTTTTTTTTACATAATAAAGTTCACACTGGTATATCTTCTTCTTATCAGAATCACAAAACTCAATACGTTCGTGACCCTTATGCAGGCAGTTTCTAATAACTTATTGCGTAAATTGATGCACGTAACACACAGCTTACATCATATAAATGCAGGGGACTATACATATATTTTATGACTTATAACAGTGAATACCAATGTTACCATACTTACTAAAACATTGTTTCCAGTTGTCTTCCCGCATTTGATTTCCTTTGTCCAAAGGAAGTACCTGTGATTTTGCTTGTGTTTGATAACCACAGGGTCAGGACGAACAGACTTTTTAACAGATGCAACCCTTTTTCCCTTTCTATTATGGACTTTTGGAGTAAATCCCATGCATTCAATCACCAACATACAATAAAATGAAATTTATTAATCGTAAATTTACAACTCTACTAACTGCGTGGAATGATAACAATTTTGCTATTCTTTACTAAAGTTTCTTACCTCTGACTATCATTTTCATCCACACTACAATCATTCAATGCTTGACCCACACGGCCAACTTGACTAACAACATTTACATCTTCAGAACGAATCACTATCTTACCTTTTCCCTTTGTGTCTTCACTAACAGCGGCTTGACTATTCGACTTCAAACCCTGGAATGTGGCAAATTCCCAATTTTTTTTCCAATCTGCATCGAATCGAGTCTTTTCTAAAGTCGCCCATAACAAACTCACTTTGGTAAGTCTTCTCCATTCCATATCTGGAAGTAACTCTTTCAAGACTCTACCAAAGAACACGCAAAAACAACATGTCTGACAAAAATTCTCAAAACAAATTTATTAAATAAACATGCAAAATCTATAATTTAAAGAATCAAACATTTGACGTCCCCTAACTACACCTTCGATTATCATTTTCAAATGGAAGATACTATTCTTAGAAAGCACGAATATTTTGTATGCTCAAGTGTTTCCACTTCCAACTTATTTCCAGTGTTGACCTTGGGCCGGTGTGTACAAATATTTTCCTAGTCCATATCCATTCAACAAATACAACCCAACTTTTTTTTAATACATTTTTTTAGTTCTACTTACAATTTTTTTATTGCATAATTACATAATTATTATTTATTTAAATATCTATTTTAATAACACTTTTAACACATTTTTTTCTTATTTTGACATGAATAAAATTTCTTAAAATATTTACGTAACAAATATAGTTTCATTATCAAATGATTTATTTTCAAACATTCTAAATTTCTTAGTTTCATTATCAAATTTAATTTCATATATTTTTTTCACTTACTCTTACTTAACTACAATATTTTATACCTAAATTAACATTTACACTTTCATTTTGACATAAATACATTTCTCAAACAAATTACATATTCTATTTTCTAATTATAACAATTTTTATTAAAACATCATTTTGATCTTCAAACTAAAATGCATTTCATTTTATATAATACCTGTGGATAATTTATATAAAATTGACCGGGCATCGCGGCGGATAGAGGTCTAGTAATTACATAACTTAGTAAGTACATCCCCTCTCTCCCTTCAACAAAATGAAAAACCTAAACTAATAGACATGTTACACCTTCTTATTAGGCAACCCACAGAATTCTCAATTCTTGCATCCATCAAATTCTTCAAGCCTGTCATAAAGTTTGACGAGCAATTGATTGCAAATTTCTGGAGATGTGCAGGGTCCACTCAAGATATAAATAACGTTGCCAAGAGGCCTCATGTACACACCATCTTCCCGGAGTTTCTGAAGAAGGGGCCTTGCATACAATGATGCATACCTGTACAAAACAATAAATTCAGAAACCTTTCAAGATTGAAATTCACTTTTTCAATTCTGGCACCACATTTCCCCATCGAACCAAGAAATCCATCAACTAAATGATCGAAATCAGAGGTTTAATTTTGGAATATCAGGTGCAGAAATTTATCGAAAAGGAGAAGAGTGATGAAATAATACCCAGCATTATTGCTTTCTGCTTTTAATTCCAAGGCAAACAGTGTTCCTAACACCACTACTCTTTGAACAGCAGAGTGTGACGAAATCTTCAGAACCAATTCATCATTCCATAACTGAAAATGCACAACAAAAATTAGATCAAATGAATATTGCTGTATATTGAAAAATGACAAACTCCGTAATTGTAAATCAAATGATTAAGCATAAGTTTTCATAAAAGATAATTTGGTAGCATTTGCCTTTTTTTATTATCATAATCAACAAACAGAACATGTATTGCTTATGTTTGATGTACCAATCAATCCGCGTGAAAATTTATTTAATACATAAAGGATAAAAATTGAAAAAATAGTCAGTATAAGTGATCCTTATTACTTATAGAGCTAAGGACATTCCTTGAACCTTGGAATATGACAGTTTGTAGATTAAATGTCTGCTCTTACATAATATTACGAATTAAGAAACTAACAAGAGAAAAAAAATACAGCAATCATAGTCATACCTCCCTAAGTAATCTTCCTTCTGAAGCGACGTTAGGGTTGGACAAAGGGTCTTTAAACCATTGGATTGATTTTACAGCGGCCATACAGCCCATAGCATGTGCAGAGTAAGAATGTCCATGCAAAAGAGCCTTGAGCTAGAACCAGAACAAGAAGATAATCACTTTATTATGCCAACAAAGCACCGTCTAAGAACTTTGCTTTGCATAAACACAAAATACAAGTAGGACCAAAATGGTAAGTCAAATATCAAAGTACAGTTGAAACTAAAAAGAATAGAACAATCATGATTGATTGCAGCTTTCTACTACAATAAAAAAAAAACAATAAAGGTCCACATCAAGGTTGTCAAAATCAGGAGCTTGCATAAGATCGAGAGGGGATAGTAAGATCATAAAACATAGGATCGTAACTAAGATCGGAAGATCCTACTCAATTATCTTTGTAAGATCGAGTGAGTAGCAAGATCATAAAACATTAAATCGTAACAAAAATCGTAAGATACTACTAAAACATAAAATAATATTACATATTTGAAGTATTTCTACATGATATTTTCGTAGGCAAGTGTATTTGTGGGAAATCCACGTCACCGGACCATAATTATTGCACCAATGTATCTTGTCATCCTTCTCAGCATGTAATGACGGTGGCCGGAAAATGGCCGATCGTGGTTGGAACTGGCCAAGATCGCACATAATCAACGTTCTTATCATTTTTTTACAATTTGACTATAGCACATGATTCTACTTAAAATCTAGATCGTTGGAGGTGAGTGATCGCAAAATCGTAAGATTTTCACAACCATGGTCCACATAATCCAGCATAAAAATGTTACACAAAAATATTAGTGGCAAGAGAAAACCACATTCTATGTCACAAAAAATAGTGCAGTATATTCTTAGGCATTACCTATCGTATAATAGCAATCAGAAAAAAAACACAACAGAGAATATGTAACCAAATCATCTGCTGCTTAATAGTCTATATGCTAATGAACAAATCAAGAAGTAGGAGACGAACAAGATAATTTTATCCAAGCAACCTGCAGAAAGAGATGAAACTGAGAGCAGTTTCCATGTCCAATCAATGCAAAGAAAGAAAATCATCCAAAAAATAGTCAATATACCTTTGAGTCTCCAATAAATGAATCAAATACAGCATCTGTTGCTAAGGTGGCAGCCAAAGGTATCATCCCACCAGTCATCAGCTTCCCAAAACAAGCTATATCGGGTTCACAGTGGATTAAATCCACTGCAGTCTGTGAGAAGAAATATACAATCCCTAATCAAATAAATGAAGAGAATAAAATACTGTTTTTTATGAAAATTAGAAAAAGAGAAAAGTCATTACGGGAAGTCAGTTATCACCTCTACTCCCAAACGCCAAAAACCAGTAAAAACCTCGTCAAAAATAACTGGAATTTTTCTACTTCGACACTCATTAACAAGTATGCGCTGAAAAAGTGGATCCACCATATGCATTCCACCAGAACCTTGTATGACTACAAAACAGCTCAGAGCCCAGACTAGATGATCAATTTCATGAAAAGGTGCAGTTAAATTAAACTATAAGATAGAGTTGCTGAAACAACTTCAGAAAGAAGACGTTTATAGGAACCAAGAAAAAGAAGAAGAAAAAACAAGACAATTTTGCGGCGTGGAAGAACTAGAACCACCCAAATGCAGTATTTTATTCATATTTTACAAAAGAAAATGGTGCAAATGTGGACAAGTAACATACAGGATTCTATTATTAGGGTACAGGAGATACAAAAAGTATAATGACACGATATAGAGTTATAAAAAAGTGACACGATATAATTTGCAAAAAGGAATCACATAAAATATCTTGCCTGGTTCCATAATCAATGCTGCAATCTTGCTCGACCCTCTAAATTCAGATAATACTTTTGATATGTAAGATGAATAAACTGGGGCAAGTTCAGAATCATCTCTGCGCTTGTGAAATATTCCATCGCGTGAATCAAAGACTGTGGAAGTGTCAGCAAATAAAATGATGATATTTTAAATGGTAACCAACCAAAGCATTATAGTTGAACATTATGAACTTACTGAGACTTTCATGTTTCAGATTTTCCGATTGAAAGTCTTCAGGAATGGAAATGTTCCATTTATTGTTGTGCATAGAGACAGAAGGAGGACTAAGGAAGAGGCCTCTTCCAGTGTACCTGCGAAATTCAAGCTTAGAAGGGTTACATGAGTATTGGCTAGGTTTAGAAAACTATAATCCATTCCTGAACAGTAATCTGGAAATATAAGGAAAATATGCTCCAAGGAATGATAATCTATACCATCAATATTAGAATACAAAAACTAAATATAACATGCGGTAAAAAATTTAAATGCATATACATGGAGAATGAAGAACTTAAAGATCCATTTGCATATACAAGTGTACAGTATAAGACAATGCTCGTACCATGGTTGCTGCAGGAAGCCTGTATAAGATGATGGTGCCTGTGCTTCCATAGCACCCAAGGTGTCGCCATGATAAGATCTCTGAAGTGCAAGAACCTGAAATAATTGGATCAACACGGTACAAGCATCAACAGATGTGTGTTTCATAAGATGAAATAATTTTTTAAAGGTTATATGGCTGTCTATCTCACATATATTAGATGTTTGGAGATTTGTAGTTATAAAACACAAATAACTACTTGGAAAGTTAAGTTTAAATGTGTATGACATAATACTTTTGCAGTCAGCCATCAAAAGAAAAAAATCAACTCAGAAAATACAGAGCCTTGTTTCCTCGATCAAAAAGGTTTAAGAGCCTTGCAGTTAAACTATTGCAGTATTTGTAAGACACCTTTAAGAAAACATCAAATTTGCCTAACATGATTGACATGAAAAATGCAGCAGATTACTGTCAACACAAGCATAGTACAGAGATTCCATATCAGAGGAAGAAGGTTAGGAAGGAAAAAGAAAGAATTATTTGTGAAAAGATATACCTAATTTAAGAATCCGTTAACAATTATCAAAGAGTAGCTAATACGTAACAACTGCAAGGCTTCATCAGTCACTTGAGTGAAAATTTGTTTCTAAACTAACAGTGTTGTCATAAAAAATCTTAAACTTCCTTTAAATATTCTATAAAAGAAAAAAAGTTGGAGAGAAAATAAGTGTATGCTTATCATCCTAAAAAGAAAGACAACACATAGAGTAGAATATAGAGCAAATAGGCTCATTAAATCATTGGAGTAAAACATAAAATCAACTCTATCCAATAATAAATCTAGAGAATGAGATAGGTTTTTGAAAACCAAGACATTTTCCGCAAGTCAAACACACCATAAAACAGCATAAACAGCACATAGACTTTGAGTCTTACCCTCTAATGCTAAGACCACAAAAACTAATAAAATGAAATGACATTAAACAGAAAAACACCAACATTACACCACACAACAACAAGCAGCCATCTAACATCTAGGCCTCGACCGTCCTAGCTATCAAAAGATAGAGCCTCAACAAAATTATTGCATACAAATTTAATAACATAAATAGGTGCCAACCATATGCCAATTTAACATTAGGCCAATTTGTCAAAGAAATTGCACAACAATAACTAAAAGCTTGAGAGAAAAAAGTTTGCTTGAAGGAAGGAATGGCTTTTACATGACATGTTTAAAATATTATGCATAAATATTAGATAGATAGCAGTCTTAATTTATAAAATCAGTTATGCATGAGCCACAGCCGAAACAATATTCGAAAATTAAATATCCAATATGATATATTATTAATATTGCAATATTATCTCAACTTTCAACACCTAATGCAAAAAAAAATATTGAATAAAAAATGAAAATTTTAAGCGTCCAGACAAATAATTTAGTAACTTTGGTTTTCTAACTGTCACTTCGATCTCCGAAGGGATAAAAAGGACTTGGCGATTAATATTAACTACCAATGGCCAGTTTCCATCTTCTTTTGCTTTAAAAGAAAACTACATGATTGCTTTGTATAATACCAGCCTCAAATGAAGATTGAAATCTAAACAATGGGACAGAAAAAATTAAATAAAAGACCATAGGTACCAACCATAAACTCAATGGATTTTTCATCTGTAGCGTCCTTGTGACTGTCAGGAATAAGTCCATGTTCAAGCGAAAATTTACGAAACGCCATCTTTAGAGCAATTTCAATTGCTGTAGATCCATTGTCTGAAAAAAATACTCGAGAAGCCCAACCTGCAAAACATCAAACTGAAATTGAAATTAACATAAACTAGGCAATTATACACTGTGCAATGATACTAAGAACCAGGGACGGAGGCGCTCCTTAGATTCTGGGGGCCTTGGCCCTGCCAGTTATTGAACCACAATGGTAAAATTAGAATGCCATGTCAATTGCCAATTTTTGGCGCTATGAATTTTAGAGAAAAGACTTGTTTTCCTCTTTATATCAAACATTGAACTCATCAATTACAATCAGCACAGCCTTAGCTTGACCAACGTGTAGAGTTGGGATGATTATATAGACGCCAGTATGCCTTACTTTAAAATTTGGAATGGATTACTAATTATATTTAATACTCTCCCTAGTCCTATTTATAAAAAACAAAAAACTCAATAAAAAAAAAAAGCAATGGAACATGTCTAAAAAAAAGACTTCATGCTAACTTTTCTAAACCTATTTTACCTATTTAACTCCCATTAAATAAAATTCACATGAGAGGTGTTTTAGGTAAAATAAATTTCACAATAAAATAGGTGCATAAAGAGAATTTTACAATTAATATACTTAAATAATTTACTGTATTTCTTATATTTTGGACAAAAAAATAACTTAATTTTCTGTTATAAATAAGGCTGGAGGCAGTAAATAATACTACCTTTGTCCCTAAATATAGGACATTATTTGTTAAATTACAGGAATTAAAAAAGTGATATGTATCAAGTATCAACATTGTTAGGAATTAATATTATTTTTTTAAATTTACCCTTTATAGTATGTATTACTTACTGATTGGTTAAAAAATTATGTAAAGTAATTAGAGGTAATTTGGTACAAAATAACTAATGCAGTTGATTTTTTTATACAACAGTTGAAAATTTGAAAGTTCTATAATAAGGTAAATGAAATTTGTTAAGACTGCCTTATATTTAAAAATAGAGTAGTAATACAGTGGTTCAAATTTTCCAAAAGCTATGAGTGGTGAAAGGTTAAAAAATGGAGAAAAGTTGGCACTGCAGTACATAGTCTGCCTCAGCCCCTGCAAAGAACTCCACACTGCTCCCAATATCATGTAGCAGTAGGAATCAGAAATAAACTGAAAGGCAAATTTGTAACCAAAGCATTCATAGATCAAACAGCCGTAAGATCAAAATTTAGATCGAATATTAAAACTATTAAGAATGGGAGCCATTTGATAAATTTCTATTAGATGAAAAACTTAATGGTTCAAATATTGAAGTAATAAACAGCAAACTAACTTTTCCCCACGCCTTGAAGCAAAAGCTCGGCACAATTCAAGGCTGGCTCATGAACATTTTCCGGGAACATAACATGCCCAAATCTTGCAGCAGTGTATCCCATGTCCCTAGCAAGCTCAGCCTGAAATCACCTAAATAGAAAAATAGCATTTAAGGAAAACTTCAGACATGCTATCAAGAAGGGCATCCACAACTAAATATGCAACCTATAATGTTTGATACTGTTGGGTTCCGCCTTAATTGCGGTCCGCCCCTTTTGTCGCCTTAATTGCGGCACTTTGGCTTGCCTTCATTGCAGCCTCCAACACCTTCATTGTATGGGTTTGAAGGGGTGGATTTAGTCCCACATTGCTTAGAGATAGGGTCTGTGTTGTGTTTATAAGTGGGGGCAATCCTCACCCTACAAGCTGGTTTTTAAGCCGGTTCTGTAGGATGGGTTAGGCCCAACCCAAATTCTGAGATACAAAATAACATTTTATTATAATGTACCGCTGGTACATGCCATAAATAGAGATCCTTTAAAATGTTTATTGTATATGCTACTAACTGCCTAATACAGTCCTATTTTTGATATCGGTTGGAAACCAGGTATGGAAGTTTTCATAGTAAAAAGGCAGTAGTAATATATGTTTAGAGTAAGTCTTGAGAGTATAAAGGAAGTATATATGTTTAGAGTAATGTTAGGAACACTCACCCTTTTAATAGGTGAAATTCGTGTGGTCCCACATGGAAGTCACATGAATTTCACCCGAGAGTAAGTGTCGGAAAGTGGAGTGTTCTTAGCACTCTTCATAAAGTCGTATGTTCAATAAGGCTGACAGTAAACCGAACAAACTCGAAAAGAATGAGACTCAACTCAACAACATAATCTGTAAAACTTTGTTAGTGAACTATATGAGCTGAAAACTGGGTTCGTTAAATAAATTGAATATTTTTTAATTATACTGTCACTTTATCTAAAAACTAGAAGTAAATTGCAAATGAGTTGAATTGAGCTAGAGTGGAAAACTACTTCGACTTTTGATCTATGTGATTCAAGCTCAGCCAAACAAAGTTGTTCGCGAGCTTGATTTAAGTTTGATCTAAAAAACAATTCACGTCAAAGTCAAGTCGAATTTCAAGCTGAACCGGATTTTAACTAGTCGAGCTTAACCAAGTTTGACTCAACTCATTTCCGACGGAAATAAATGAAATTGGTAAGTATTCAAAGCTGAAAAACAGACATAATTTTTTAATCATATCCAACAGTTAAAAAATGGAAGAATAGCATATTTTAGTATATGGCCCTCAATCAAACAGTTAACATGATTATTAATATTTTGAATATCAGAATTAAATACCAAAAAAACAATGAGTATGACCTGCAATATAGCATCAGGTCCTTGAGTCCACCAACTAGCACATGCATCAAACAATGGTGCTATGACTTCTGTCTTCTTATCCTTTAAAAAAATTCATGTGATGTAGCATCTACGTATCAGCATATAAAATAAACATGGATAGAGGAATCTATTAAACTCTAGAAAATAACTCCAAAGTGAACACTAGTAGCTCAACATAGCGCAGTTGACTAAGACTTGTATAGCATGGCATTAAGTAATTTTAAAAAAGAAAAATTAAAATAGATAAATAAATAACGACTTCACTCAGAACAAACCTTGAAGACTGCAAAATTTTCACCACAGCGTGAATCAATAACTGTGACCCCTCCATCTGGTACAAGTTTGTGTTGAGTGAAAGGCCACCAGATGATATCCCTTGCTTTATTTGGCATTTCATGCAACTTCCTAATTCTCTCAACATAAGCAGATAGCATTATTTCCTTTAGATTACTAAATACAGAGTGAGAGCCTTCAAACCATTCCATTAGGTCATTTGATGGATCTTTCGGAACAGTTGGTAGCACTAAAACAGGAACCCTGCACAAAAGCAACAATAGCGTATAAGCAAGAAGCTAATAACCCCCAGGGGTTGGTCTGTTGGTGAAGGCATGGGTCCTAAGAATATGTTCTTTTCAAGGTCTCAAGTTCAAATCCCGCTAGGTACTTACAATTCCTGTGTTGGGTCAGTTCATACAGAGCTTTGAGGATACCAAGCTTTCAAAAAAAAGAAGAAAAGAAATGCCAAAACTAAGAAGATAACTGATCTGCTGAAACATAAATGCAGCTAAAAAAGAGTTTTAGATGCATGTATACGTGAAAATATCAGATGATTCTTTGTTCTATATTAGGGTAACTGTAAATTCTTGTATTTAATATTTGAAATATATTATTATAATATAATTCACGGCCATTATGCCATTAATTTAACACACATGGATTTATCACATGCCTTTTGTTTCTCCTATTTTCAATATGGTATCAACATCATAACGAAAGGCAACCCAGACCTAAGCTTATCCGCTTGATTCAGAGTATGTTATATTACTGTTCAACTGCAGGGTGCACTTACTTAGTTGTATACTATATCCCAACTACATTGTCATTACATGTAATGCAGACTGCTCAACAAGGTTTTAGCTGAACTGGTCCAATGCCTACCAAAAATGAATTTAGTAAACAACAGAAGAAACCACTCAGTTGACTTCGCGTGACTAAACACTCGTCATCTTTCAACCCTTTTCTTATTTAATGAAGTAAACCAGGATGTTTCCTTTATTGTATAGTATTATATTAACTAATTCAATTCCAATAATTTGCCTAGTACTTGGTGCTTATTGCTTAACCAAAACTTCTCTTTGCTACAAATATCATTACAAACTCTTTAACTTTACCAAAAACATACAGAAAAGGAGCATGTGTATTATAATTCTTTGAGTAAGGAAAATTCTGTATCCCATGTCAAAAGCAGAAATGGAAAATACTAGTAACAAGTACAGTCAAGCTTACTTGTTCCGCACATAAGACAATAGTGGGCCCTCATTTAAAAGGCCGTGATCTTCGAAAATAATAGCAACAACATCATAACCACGAAGCGTCAAGCTCTCATAAGCCGATATTGTTCCGGAAATACCTCCAAGCCGGCCATCTCCAACAAGAACTGCAGGAATACGAAATGGCCTGATAGAAATGGAAGAAGGAAGAAATTTAACAGAAGGGAAAAAAACAGTGAGTAAATCTATGGCCACATGCACCACTGTCTACCATCATCACCAATAATGCATATATAACTCGTTCACTCCCTTGGCCCAAATGGCTAAATTTAGCAATTAAGCATGAAATTCACATGATTACACTCTAACAAAGATTAACATTGCTCAAAAGCGGATGAATTGTAAAAAAGAAGAAAATCAAACTTAAACAAACTAGCAAGCAACCTGAGTGATCATTGAAATCTACACCTAAAAAGTAAAAACCCAACAAAATCAACGGCACCTGGATATATAAGGAATGTTTAGATTGTCTTATTTGGGTTTATTCACCGACATAGTATTCGTGAGACTGTTTAATAGAACACAGCTTATCACATGTTTTCAGCTTTTTTTATAAGCTCTCCTGGATACTATAGCTTGCGAAAATAGCTTATATGAAAAGATTCAAATGTACAATATTCTTTCCTATAGAAATAGCTTATAAATTAGCACTTAATGAAAAGTGTTTATCCTATAAATACTCAATTAAGTGCTTAATCTGTAATCAAGAAAAAACTAAGTGCTTAATAAGGCCATGGTTTATATGAAATTGGAAAATTTAAAGAACAGACCTATACAAGTCACATTGAAGTGAACCAGAAGATCCAGGACTGGCAACTCCACCGGCAGTCTCCACAATACAAAGAACTTCCGACCTCTCTTTACCAACACCACTTTCAACCACCTCACGAAAACACAGCTGCAACGTTTCCAGCACCGTCGAGTCCTCCACAACAAAACCTTCCCTCTCAGCCGCCAAATGCGGCGACACAGCCTCATCCCACGCGTACAACGTCTTGCAGATCAACTCCGATGAGGTAGAAGAATCATCTTCACACTCAAAACGATCTATCTCCTTTGCGGAGTCCCTCACAGCAGGAGAGACATTAAGGACTATGTTTGACGCGGAAAGAGAAATGTTATGGTTACTTTTGCGGTTGTGGAGTTGGCGGAGTTTGTTGAAGACGAAGCGGGAATCGGAATCGGAAGGGAAACCGGTTTGGAGAGGCTTGAGGTAGTGGAATTTGACGGGGGGAGTGGAAGAGAGGAGGTAGGAGGCGGCGATACCGGCGGAAACTAGGGTTTTGCCGACATCGGTGTTGGAGCCCCAGATAGTGTAGATAGGGTGGGATAAGGGTAGTTCGAGTGGTATGGTGGCATTAGAAGATAGTTTGCGGCGGTGGAGGACGGTGGGGAAGCGATACATGGCGGAGGCAGTGGTGTCACGGACTCACGGTGTTGACGTATTGGTATAGCCGAAGGGAAGAGGAGGGAAAGAAAAAGAAAATAAGAAACTACTGTTTGAATTTTTGTTATTGACAAAACATATGGAATTTAAGTCAATTAAATATGGTATAATGTGGAATTTAAGGCGTTTAAATGTAATTTTATTTTGTGAAAGTGGAAGGGATGTGTGTATACCACATAACTTAAGACCTACTCATATGGCTAATGCAATAATAGAGTACAAGAAGTTAAAATAACATTTTGAGCTATCATTAGCAAATACAACCCAACTTCAATTTCCATTTTTGCAAACATAAGCCCAAGCAAAAACCATTCGGTTTCGATTTCGAGAATATGAAGAACAAAAAAATTCATAATTTTTTTAATAAATTAATTTTCGATTTTGATTTCCAAAGCAAAAACTATTCACTTTTGATCGTATCTGACCAGAATGGACTATCACAGCTAGTTCGAGCAGAAGTTGAGTGAGATGAGGGATACATGCAAGACACTCTGATGCCAAAGTAAGTTGTGGAATGAGCAAGCAAGCGTGAGAGTTAGAAAGTGTTGAATATCTGACCCTCTCGAAAGAGAGGGTATTTATAGCCCTCAGCGCTAGGCCAAGGTCTCTATATTGGGCTGGTCAAGCAGGCCCAATATAGAAACGGCCAGGTCTTACGTGAGTAGTGGGAACCTGCACGTGGTCCCCTACCTGGATGACGTCCTCCGCGAGGTTAGGAGTATATGGATTCGATCTTTCCGGGACCACGAAGACTCTGTAATATCCAGAGACGTTGGTAGTCAGCTTTACGAGGAGGATCCTCGGGAGGAGCATCTGCTCGTCGTGGGTGATCTCCGTCATACGCGAGATCGATGGGGGACCAGTCTTGATCGACGAGCTAGTCGAGGTGTCCTTAAAGCCCTCATGGTCGGAAGTGGTCGTCCTTAGTCTACTCAGGGCGTTGTCCCAGCATGGTGAGGTTGTCTCCTTATGCAGAAAGGATAGTAGTTACCCGCCGTGTTCGAGGGTAGAACCGGTCAGTGGTGCAGGTTAACACACTTGGATTGGACCTCGCTAGGAGTTGGGCCAAGGGCAGGCCCAGCCTAGAACATGAGCCCCCCTAAGTCGTTGCTCCTGATGAAGGAGTCGTGACTTAGTTCTAGTTTTTCCTTTTGCAAGGTGAGTTGTTCGACACGGAGTTTTTATACCATAGACGGAGAACGTCGTCAGTTCATGATTTTGCCCCGAGCAGCGGTCAAAGTGGGTTCGAGGAGGACTCGTGGGGAGAAGATGATACACTTGTCAGACATGTGGCGTGGCTCTTGGGAACAGTAATGATGACCTAGGGAATAGGGGCCATCATTGCATGTACGTATAGGTGTCGATGAGAAAGACGGTTTGTGAGCTGCCCGACGTGACGTTTCACATTCCACGTCAGCTCTATAAATAGGGCTTCAGGGCTCATAATTTACTTTCATATTTTCGCGCTCTCCATTTTCTCCGCTATCAACACCGTGCCTTTTTCCAGAATCCTTGAAACCGCCGCACAGCCCGACGCGTACTCTTCCTTAACCACTGTCGCTCTACATCTATTCTTCAAGTAAGCATTCTTTTTCCTTGATATCTTGTGTGTAGATAGATTTTGATGGTGTTTAGTAGTAGGATTTCGCCTCTGGGGGGTTCTCCCCGGGGAACTCATGCATTTAGGCATATAATTTATGATTATGCCCGTGATATTCATGCGTTTAGGCGTATGATTTATGATTATGCCTGTGATATTCATGTGTTTGGCTAACAAATTTATGAACTTGGTCGTGAGATTCATCCTTTCGTCAGTACTTAGGTTAGTTTTCCTCGTGATCTCCATGTGTTTGGCTAACAAATTTATGAACTTGGTCGTGAGATTCATAGTCTGCTCGCCATATTCTTCCTGTGCCCGATATAGTTATGAAAAAATAGGCATTTGTCGTTAGGATCGTTGTGTGATCTTAGAGGATCGGCATGGTTTTCACGGGCTGGTCGAGGTCCACGTATTTCCCCTTTTTGTGCAAATGATTGTCGACTTGGTCTAGGTGTTGCTTAGCCTCTTCATCTACGTCGTGGAAAGGTGGATTTGCTATTGAATTCATCGGTTTCATATGCTTTGCAGGTAAGTGGCTGACACTCCTGAGTCATTAGAGCATATGGACACTGAAGGAACCAGCGCAGCCAAGGAGAGCGTCAATCTATTTGACACAGTCGACGATCCTACTCTGGATTGGGTTGGTGTGGAACCCCGAGGGATAGCCTCGATCTACAATTACACTGGGAGGCAAGCTTATACAGTCGTCAAGTATGGTGGCAGCCAGGAGGGTTTTTAGAGAAATTTCAAAATCATGAGGCCGACGCAAGACGCTCGTGTGATACGGTGAGAGAATTGACTTGAAGGTTTTACATTTGATCGCAAATGTTTCGGTTAGCAAGAGTCGCCATCGACTTTTCTTTTATCCAAAAGGAAAGGTGAAAAAGCACAGGAAAGACCTTTGAGATTATTTCTTGAGTTCGGGGTGTAGATTATGAAAAGGGAAGGTATTAGCATCCTTTTCATCCATGATTTTCCATGGGATCTTAGTTACTTGCTAGATCACTTGTTTTTTTGTTTGAAAATTGTGCTTGGTGTGGTTTTTGAAAGTATTTTGTAAATAGGCCATTGTTTAGGCAATCTTTGTAATGATCCTTGTTTGTAAGAATGTATACAAAGATGTTGATCTTTTGAAAATGTTTTCAAGTTTGTAAGACATTTGAAAGTATAGGTGTTTGTTTTGAAAATAGCAAGGATGTTTGTTTTGAAATTGAGCAAGTAATTAGGAGCATTCTACCTACTCAAAAGTCTTTCTTGTTTATTTCCTTTTCCTTTGACATTATTGTCTTACCATTGATTTGGTAAGCAACCATATCTTTAGATGTAAATGGGACGGGCGTGGGTCATCGTATAACCATGATTAGCAATGTTGCAAGGTATCTTAGCATTCTTTGTTAGGGACTAAGATCATTTGAAAGGCAACTTAGATAGCGTCATCGAGGGACTATGATCTTGTATTTGCTTGTTTTTGCTAAGATACCTTACATGCGTAATATGACCATTTTGTATAAGGCAACCAAATGGAATAATCCTAGGGGTGCTTGTGTGCAAGTGTATTGTTTTCATGCTTGTTTTTGTCTTGAATTAGGATTTTCTAAGTATTGGTTTTAGTCTTTCCATACAAACCCTAATTACTAGCATTTGTACATAAAAGCGATAAATTGCATAATTTAAAGTTATTATACTATTACAACATTTGTGGGGAGGGAGATATACAAATTGAATGGGGATTTCAATAATGTAAACCTAGTTAGTCTATTACAACTATATTGAATGAGTATCATTGTACAAGGAATTAAATGAATACAATGTGCAAAAAGAATAAATATGCAATAATATAAAGGTGAAGAAAAATGAATATTTTGTTTGGTTTTCATAAGAAAAAGGGAAATTGTCTTAACCTAATTGAATAAAGAAAATAATTAATTAAACTTAAATTTATTAAGAAAAGATCTTAAATAAAACCCTAATTCTATTTGATTGATTAAAAGAAAATAAATTTAGAAAAAAGTATTTTTGATATTTTTGTCTTGAAAATATTTATGGTATTATAAAGTGTTTTTGGCCTTTTTTGTATCAAAAATGAAATATTTTAATTGGTGTGAGAGAAAATAAATTAAAAAAATATAGTATTTTAATTTAAATTTACAAGAATAGTTAATAAAAATAAATAAAGTATAGTTGAATAAAAATATTTTTTATGAGAAAAATAAAATAAACTAAGTTAAAAATAAAAATCTAAATTTTTTGTATTTTTTTAATATTAGGAAAAAAAATTAAGAAAATATAAATGAAATAAATAAAAATAAAAATAAAATAAAAATAAATAAACTTGGGCCAAGGGGCGCAAACAGCCTGCAGGGGGTTAGTTAGCAAAAAAAAAAAGTCAAGCCCAAAGAGGCCCAGCGCCTGCCAAACAACCAAAAATCAAAAAGCAAAATGTGAAAAAAATGAAAAGAGTACCAATGGGGCGCGAACCCAGGTCCCAAAGGTTACAGGCGCGCGTTTCTACCACTGGGGTGGCTATACATTCGTTAACATAGGAAAATCAATAAATATACAAGGCAAAACGCGCCCTGATGACTTCATCTTCAACCTCCAGCCAGACCAACTGTAACTTTCTCATTTCTCATCAAAAATGAAAACTGTAAACATGAAACTTGTAGCAAATTTTCTCATGGTTTCAGAAATGTAAAGCATTAAAACTATAGATAAAAAATAAGCATGAATTTTAATGGCCCTAATCTGAATCCTAAAAATCTCATAAATTTCAGTTTCAAAATTCTCTAAGCTCAAGCAAAATTAATGGAAACTATGGACATGGTTAACTTCAGGGCAATGATATCTACATGTTTTGTTCACAAATAAACTATTGATGATGTCTGTATAAAGAGTTCAAAGTTGAGGAAACTTACCTCAAAACTGGAAATCGTGTTTTGAGTTTGAGCTTGTTTCAAGTGATGGTGATGATCAGGTTAGCTTCCTTGAGGTCCCATGAAGCTAATGCAATGATTAGCTTGAGAAATGGATGGCTGAAATGGTCTGGAGAAGTCAATGTGCAGAGCTCTTTTTTTGGAAATGGAGGATGGTGTTAATGGTGTTATAGTTCTATAACAGGGTGTGAGATCAACTTTATGTGATGTTTAGAAACTTTAGAAACCAAAAGGCCAAGAAACGCACGAGTAGATTATGAGTTTCAAGTTTTTGGTCAGTTTGTATGAAAATGGAAGTGTGAAGTGTGATTCTGAGTTCTAGGTTCTTTCAGGGCTTCAGCATTCGTGTCTTTGTGTCAAATGGTTTGTGTATGTATAAACAAAAGTGTTTGAGTGCATTGACAAGTCAGAAGTACAAGTTTCTA